GATAACCGACATCTAATATATATTAATGTCACTTAATAGACGGCGGTTGTAAATAACCGCCTTCTAATATATATTTACGTCACTTAATATACGGCGGTTTTAAATAACCGCCTTCGAATATATATTTACGTCAATTAATAGACGGCGGTTTTAAATAATCGCCGTCTAATATATATTTGCATCAATTAATAAACGACGGTTTTAAATAACCGCCTTCTAATATATATTTACGCCACTTAATAGACGGCGGTTTTAAATAACCGCCGTCTAATATATATTTACGTCAATTAATAGACGGCGGTTCTTAAATAACCGACGTCTAATATATCTTAATGTCACTTAATAGACGGCGGTTGTAAATAACCGCCTTCTAATATATATTTACATCACTTAATAGACGGCGGCTTTAAATAACCGCCTTCTAATATATATTTACGTCAATTAATAGACGGCGGTTTTAAATAATCGCCGTCTAATATATATTTGCGTCAATTAATAGACAACGGTTTTCAATAACCGCCTTCTAATATATATTTACGCCACTTAATAGACGGCGATTTTAAATAACCGCCGTCTAATATATATTTACGTCAATTAATAGACGGCGGTTCTTAAATAATCGACGTCTAATATATATTAATGTCACTTAATAGACGGCGGTTGTAAATAACCGCCTTCTAATATATATTTACGTCACTTAATAGACGGCGGTTTTAAATAACCGCCTTCTAATATATATTTACGTCAATTAATAGATGGCGGTTTTAAATAATCGCCGTCTAATATATATTTGCGTCAATTAATAGATGACGGTTTTAAATAACCGCCTTCTAATATATATTTACGCCACTTAATAGATGGCGGTTTTAAATAACCGTCGTCTAATATATATTTACGTCAATTAATAGACGGCGGTTCTTAAATAACCGACGTCTAATATATATTAATGTCACTTAATAGACGGCGGTTGTAAATAACCGCCTTCTAATATATATTTACGTCACTTAATAGACGGCGGTTTTAAATAACCGCCTTCTAATATATATTTACGTCAATTAATAGACGGCGGTTTTAAATAACCGCCGTCTAATATATATTTGCGTCAATTAATAGACGACGGTTTTAAATAACTGCCTTCTAATATATATTTACGCCACTTAATAGACGGCGGTTTTAAATAACTGCCGTCTAATATATATTTACGTCAATTAATAGACGGCGGTTCTTAAATAACCAACGTCTAATATATGCACGCATATGTCAACTTAAGCCTAAATTATTATAATTATATATATATATATATATATATATATATATATATATATATATATATATATATATATATATATATATATATAAGTATTTTTTCGAAATAAACGAAAAACAAGATAGAAAACCAAAAACCTACGTACAGAAGCAGAGAGTCAATTGCAATCTTTTGTTTATATTTCCTAATCAGCGGCAATCACCATAATTCCTCTCAAATAACTCCAGCCATCACCATGTACCCCTTTTGTTTCTCATCTTCGTCGGTCGTTTGCTCTTCGGTTGATTAATTTAAAGAGAATTTACGGAAGAGCGATCATAGGATTTGGTTCAAGGATTATTGTTAATTTTGGAATCCAGGTAATATTTATGTCTTCCAAAAATCTATTTACTCCATAAGAATCAAAAGCATTTTTCCTAATTGCTTATGTGAAATTTTTTTTCCTCAAAAATCTGTTTTTGCTATTTTTGAATATTGTGATTCATGATCTTTGTAAATATTGTGTTTTAAATAAAAATTATTTGATGTTGCCATGATATTGAGTATATGAATTGCATGTTCGTATTTGTTGTTAGTCTTTTATACCACTGTTGGAGAAAGAAAAAAAAATGTTATTTTGCACCATATGTTTACAAGTAAGTATATATGTTATACATACTTTTTACTTTATACAATATTGTTGTTTTGCATTTAAATGAATAATAAATTTGTATGCAGAAATCATTGGATGTTATGTTATTTGTCCTGAAAAGTTGAAAGTGTATTCCTTCGATTCTATTCAAGGGAATAAAGAACGCGGAGATATTAAGCAAGTAATTGACAAGTATGTAAAATATATATATGTATTTATATATTCATTATATTGTAAAGTAGTATGTTATGTTATGTTATTTATTTAAATATATGTATTTTTTTTAATGTTGATAGTGCACTCAAAGAATTACTAGTTGTCAAACATAAATTGAAGGTAAATAGAGTCAAATCGTCGACTTGGATTCCATGCAAAGTAAGTACTTCATATTTATACAAAATGCATGTTCTGTTTAGTTTTATATATATTATTATATTAATTTTATATTCTAAATTTGATGTAGTGCCCTACACAATCCGGATCTTCAGAATGTGGATATTATGTGATGAAATATATGTTTGATATTTTACAAATGGAATTGGATGACGATGGATTAGACAAGGTAAGTAATGATCACTTCAATATATTTTTTACGGCCATACTTATTAGATTCAGTTATTTTCATTATACTAACTTTCCAACTTGAGTTTAAATTTGTAGATGTTCGATAATACTGAAAGCTATTCACTAGAAGAAATTGATGAGATGAGAAATTTATGGTGCCAAAGTTTTGTTGATTATTGGATTAGAGCTACTACATAATTATGACAATGAATTAGTATTTAGTTATTAGTATTGGTTGTGATTGATAATATATATCATGCATATTGATGTATTGTATGCATTTTGATGCAATTGAATAGCTTTTTATTATATTACCTATGAAATTTGAGATTTACAAATTTGTAATACTGGAATTATTGTATGCATTTTGATCAAATTGTGCAGCTTTTTATTGTATTTGATATTACAAATTTACAAACTGGAAAATAAAAAAATTTTGAAATATTTTTTTTTAAAAAAAATATAAATAGTAAAAAATATATGTATAGACGGCGGTTGTTTCTTTGAACCACCGTCTAAAAATATTTTATAAGGTTCAAATGATATGTATAGACGGCAGTTCAATGTAAGAACCGCCATCTGAAAATATTTTATAAGGTTCAAATGATATGTATAGACGGCGGTTCTTAGATTGAACCCCCGTCTATTCATATGTTTTAAGGTGAAAAATATAAGTATAGATGGCGGTTCCTACATTGAACCGTCGTCTATTCATATGTATAGACGGCGGTTCCTACATTGATCCGTCGTCTATTCATATGTATAGACGGCGGTTCCTACATTGAACCATCGTCTATTCATATGTATAGACTGCGGTTCTTACATTGAACCGTCGTTTATTCATATGTATGGACGGCGGTTCTTACATTGAACCGTCGTCTATTCATATATATAGACGGCGGTTTCTACATTGAACCGTCGTCTATTCATATGTATAAACGGCGGTTCTTACATTGAACCGTCGTCTATTCATATGTATAGACGGCGGTTCTTACATTGAACCGTCGTCGAACCGCCGTCTATACATATGAATAGATGGCGGTTCATCAAGAAAAGCGTCGTCTATACATATAATTGTTGAGATTACACGACATACATCGTGAGATTAGACGGAGGTTAGCAACCGCCGTGTTTTAGAAGTATACACGGCGGTTCAAATAACCGCCGTAGAAAGTTTTTATTTACAAAGGCGGTCACTTACACGGCACTTCAAGAACCGCCGTGTATTTATAAAAATAACCGCTGTGGTAAGTGTGTTTTGTAGTAGTGACAACATTTTGAAATGTAAATGTTAGTTGTCCATGAGAAAGTAAAATTATATACTGGACTTCAAAGCAACCGATCGAAAAGAAACCCATAAAAATGTCGAGCTACCATCTAGATGATGATGATGAATATAACTATTTTAATCAATATGTGGAACATGTCAAATGCATTCAACGATGACTTAAAGGCCTTTCATAACTTTATCAGCTAAAAAACTCACCAAGACGCTGATGGCCTTTGCTAAACTATAGTGACTTTCAGTCTGAACGAGGAACAAGGCCAATGCCAGCAGAATTTCGAGTCACTTCCTGCAAACAAAGTTGGGCCCGCATGTTTGAACTTCGCATACATAATTTCTTTCAAAAATAAAAATCCAAATTTTGAGATATAACGAGAGAGAGGATGAGAACTGACAGTACGAATCGGAATCAGAATCAGAATCGGATGCGATTTTGAGATATAACGAGAGAGAGGATGAGAACTGACAGTACGAATCGGAATCAGAATCGGATGCGATTTTGAGATATAACGAGAGAGATGATGAGAACTGACAGTACGAATCGGAATCAGAATCGGATGCGAATTTCACCGTCCGAACGTTCGGCTCCCATATGTTTTTTTTTTATTTTTTATTTTTTATTTTTTTATTTCTTTTATTAAATTAATATTTTTTTTAAAAAAAAAAACTTATTGTTATTATTATTATTATTATTATTATTATTATTATTATTATTATTATTATTATTATTATTATTATTATTATTATTATTATTATATGTATGTATACCCTTAGGTCATTTTACATGTTAATCTAACTAGTTAATTTTGTCAAATATCTTTTTACCAAGCGTTGATATAATTCACTGGTTAAATCCGCTAACGCTAACCGCTAACTGCTGATTGTCAAACAAGAACATTGCGAGGTAGTTTCCTACTTCAATTTGTTGTGTGATTTGAATACTTTCTTTGTCAACAAATCCCTCAAGTAGTTAATATGATTGACTTAATTATATATTTTTAAAATTTTTCATGGTATTAATAAAATACTTGGTAAATAAATGTATATCATTATTTTCTATTATAGCTTTGATATTTAATTAAAAGAGTTAATACAATCTAGAGTCTTCCGAGTATAGTGGTTTTGTCACGTTTAATCCTAAACTTTTAAATTACCACCCATGGTCCTTCGACTTACAAATTGTTACCATCTGTGGTCCAAGTTAACCACCCATGGTCTTTCAACTATAAAATTTTATCCACTCATAGTCCTTCCTTGGAGTAGCTCAGTTGGTTAAAGCATGTGGCTGTTAACCACAAGGTCGATGGTTCAAGTCCTTCCTTTAGCGACCAGTGACATTTGAACTCACAAGTCTCATACTAATAGTTCCACTGCAACAACACTCGGGCAGAAACATGTAGTCTAGCTTGTATGGAAGGCCCGGGCAGAAACAAGTCTCATACTAATAGTTCCACTGCAACAACACTCGGGCAGAAACATGTAGTCTAGCTTGTATGGAAGGCTCACAAATTAGAAATTTTATGTCATAGAAGTACACGTCACAACGATTTAAAGTTTGTAAACAAGGTCAGAAATTTGAACTCTTCAAAATTTACTTCCATAAGTATGTATATATCATCAATTAAAACTAGTGACTAAACTTATTATAATTATAAATATACACTTCAAATTTTTATTGATGTTGTAAAACTTACCACATTATATTATGTGTATAAGGCTAAGATTGGGTTGTGTATGGTGAGCCTCAAATTAAGATATGTGGCTATTCAGATTGGTTGATTGTGCCAACTACCTTGTAAATCATCATGGGCATTAAAAAAAAAAGAAAGAAGAATAATGGTCCATTTTAGTTCCGACTTTAATTAAATATGTGATCTTAGGGCCGCAATTAGGTTTCATTATTTCTTTAAATTTTTTTTTTTAATGTTTGCTGGAGTAGCTCAGTTGGTTAGAGCGTGTGGCTGTTAACCACAAGGTTGAAGGTTCATGTCCTTTCTCTAGCGACTAGCGACATTTTAACTCACTAGTTTCATACTAATATAGTCCCACTGCAACAACACTCGGGCAGAAACGTGTTGTCTAGCTTGTATGGTTGGCTCACAAATTAGGAATTTTATGTCATAGAAGTATTTTTTTTATAGATAATTTTACTTTTTTAGTTATATAACTATCTTGATATTATAAGATAGCGAAAAAATATCCAAATTACACGTTACAACGATTTAAAGTTTGTAAACAAGGTCAGAAATTTGAACTCTTCAAAATTTACTTCCATAAGTACGTATATATCATCAATTGAAACTAGTGACTAAACTTATTATAATTATAAATATACACTTCAAATTTTTATTGATGTTGTAAAACTTACAACATTATATTATGTGTATAAGGATAAGGTTGGGTTGTGTATGGTGAGCCTCAAATTAAGATATGTTGCTATTCAGATTGGTTGATTGTGACAACTACCATTTCGTGTAATGACATCACAGTTACCTACGGTGGGGGCTTAGATTTTTTGTTTGAAAATGTTTGAGAAAGTATAGAACATATACTACCTTGTAAATCATCATGGGCTTTAAAAAAAAGAAGAAGAATATTGGTCCATTTTAGTTCCGACTTTAATTAAATACTAGTAATTCACCCGCGCGATGCACGGAAAAAAAATTATGTTATTATAAATATAAATAAAAAAAATATAAAAACTAAAATATTTGAAATTATTTAATATAATAATATTTTTGAGCTTCCATTGGTCAAGTATTTATTATTTTTATAGAATATAAAATTACAATTAAAATTAAAATTAAAATTAAAATTTTGTATGATTAATATAATCTCTAATTATGTGCATATTCAAATAAACATCTAGAGAGAATTTACATAATTACATTGATTTATTCATAATTGTATTTCATCTATATTATAATTTTCACAATACGAAGAATAACTAAGATAATTACATTTGGAAAGCAAATTTCAAATTTTCTATGTGTAAATTTAAACTCTAATTGAACACATATTTTATATAATTATATAATGTATAGCTATTTTGTTTTTCAAAAGTATATTTTTTATATGATTATATAATATATATAGCTATTTTATTTTTTAAATGTTGTGCTTCTTTTTTTTTTTTTTTTTTATAATAAAAGATGTTGTGGCATTAATTGTAACATTAATTATTTCCCAGACCATATAGCTTTAGTATATAAAGGATGTGCTCTTAGGGCCGCAATTAGGTTTCATTATTTCTTTTTAAAAAAAATATATTTTTTAATGTTTGCTAGAGTAGCTCAGTTGGTTAGAGCGTGTGGCTGTTAACTACAACAAGGTTGAAGGTTTAAGTCCTTCCTCTAGCGACTAGCGAAATTTGAACTCACAAGTCTCATACTAATAGTTCCATTGCAACAACACTCGGGCAGAAACTTGTATGGAAAGCTCACGAATTAGAAATTTTATGTCATAGAATTTTTTTTTTTATAGATAATTTTACTTTTTTAGTTATATAACAGTCTTGAAATTGTAAGATAGAGAAAAAAAATTCAAATTACACGTCACAACGATTTAAAGTTTGTAAACAAGGTCAGAAATTTGAAGTCTTCTAAATTTACTTCCATAAGTATGTATATATCATCAATTGAAACTAGTGACTAAACTTATTATAATTATAAATATACACTTCAAATTTTTATTGATGTTGTAAAACTAACCACATTATATTATGTGTATAAGGCTAAGGTTGGGTTGTGTATGGTGAGCCTCAAATTAAGATATGTTGCTATTCAGATTGGTTGATTGTGACAACTACCATTTCGTGTAATGACATCACAGTTACCTATGGTGGGGGCTTAGATTTTTTGTTTGAAAATGTTTGAGAAAGTATAGAACATATACTACCTTGTAAATCATCATGGGCTTTAAAAAAAAGAAGAAGAATATTGGTCCATTTTAGTTCCGACTTTAATTAAATACTAGTAATTCACCCGCGCGATGCACGGAAAAAAAATTATGTTATTATAAATATAAATAAAAAAATATAAAAACTAAAATATTTTAAATTATTTAATATAATAATATTTTTGAGCTTCCATTGGTCAAGTATTTATTATTTTTATAGAATATAAAATTACAATTAAAATTAAAATTAAAATTTTGTATGATTACTATAATCTCTAATTATGTGCATATTCATATAAACTTCTAGAGAGAATTTACATTATTACATTGATTTATTCTTAATTGTATTTCAAATTTTGTATGTGTAAATTTAAACTCTAATTGAACACATATTTTATATGATTATATAATATATAGCTATTTTATTTTTCAAAAGTATATTTTTTATATGATTATATAATATATATAGCTATTTTATTTTTTAAATGTTGTGTTTTTTTTTTTTTTAATAAAAGATGTTGTGGCATTAATTGTAACATTAATTATTTCCCAAACCATATAGCTTTATTATATAAATGATGATGATGCTGTGATCTTAGGGCCGCAATTAGGTTTCATTATTTCTTTTTTTAAAAAATATATTTTTTTAATGTTTGCTGGAGTAGCTCAGTTGGTTAGAGCGTGTGGTTGTTAACCACAAGGTCGAAGGTTCAAGTCTTTGCTCTTGCGACTAGCAAAATTTGAACTCACAAGTCTCATACTAATATTCCATTGCAACAACCACTCGGGCAGAAACTTGTTGTCTAACTTGTATGGAAAGCTCACGAATTAGAAATTTTATGTCATAGATAATTTTACTTTTTTAGTTATATAACTGTCTTGATATTGTAAGATAGAGTAAAAAAAAATTCAAATTACACGTCACAACGATTTAAAGTTTGTAAACAAGGTCAGAAATTTGAACTCTTCTAAATTTACTTCCATAAGTATGTATATATCATTAATTGAAACTAGTGACTAAACTTATTATAAATATAAATATACACTTCAAATTTTTATTGATGTTGTAAAAGTAACCACATTCTATTATGTGTATAAGGCTATGGTTGGGTTGTGTATGGTGAGCCTCAAACTAAGATATGTGGCTATTCAGATTGGTTGATTGTGACAACTACCATTTCGTGTAATGACATCACAGTTACCTACGGTGGGGGCTTAGATTTTTTGTTTGAAAATGTTTGAGAAAGTATAGAACATATACTACCTTGTCAATCATCATGGGCATTAAAAAAAAAAAAAGAAGAAGAATAATGGTCCATTTTATTTCCGACTTTAATTAAATATGTGATCTAAGGGCCGCAATTAGGTTTCATTATTTCTTTAAAAAAAAAAAATTTTTTTTAATGTTTGCTGGAGTAGCTCAGTTGGTTTGAGCGTGTGGTTGTTAACCACGAGGTTGAAGGTTCAAGTCCTTCCAGTCTAGGGAACAGCGACAATTGAACTCACAAGTCTCATACTAATAGTTCCACTGCAACAATACTAGGGCAGAAACTTGGAGTCTAGCTTGTATGTGAAAGGCTCACAAATTAGAAATTATATGTCATAGAGGTTTTTGTTTGTTGATCAGGCGACACCCGGATTTGAACTGGGGAAAAAAGGATTTGCAGTCCTCCGCCTTACCACTCGGCCATGTCGCCAAAATGATACAAAAATTTTCCCGGTCTCTTTCTATTTCCCATCAATCGAATCGCTTTTTCTATAAATACGAGACATCTAAGTCATACAAGTAAAGAGATCTATTCATTGATAAGAAAAAGAAAAAACGTGAACGGGGATTGGATTGATGATAAAATAGAATCCTGGGTCGCGAACAGTGATTCGATTCATGAGGAAGAAAGAAAATTCTTGGTTCAGCTCTCCGCCTTAACGACAGAAAAAAGAATTCTATTGAGTCCGAAAATATTGTAAGAATACTTTTACGAGAAGGTTTTATTGAAAACATGAGAAACCATCGAGAAAAAAACAAAAATTTTTTTGTTTTAACCCTGCGACATAGAAGGAATAGGAAAAGACCCTATAGAAATATTTTCAATTTAAAACGGATCAGTCGACCCGGTTTACGAATCTATTCTAACTATCAACGAATCCCTAAAATTTTAGGTGGAATCCCTAAGTTTTTTTTTTTTTTTGTAGATTATTTTACTTTTTTAGTTATATAATTGTCTTGATATTATAAAATAGAGAAAAAAATTCAAATTACACGTCACAACGATTTAAAGTTTGTAAACAAGGTCAGAAATTTGAACTCTTCAAAATTTACTTCCACAAGTATGTATATATCATCAATTGAAACTAGTGACTAAACATATTATAATTATAAATATACACTTCAAATTTTTATTGATGTTGTAAAACTAACCACATTATATTATGTGTATAAGGCTAAGGTTGGGTTGTGTATGGTGAGCCTCAAATTAAAATATGTGGCTATTCAAGTTGGTTGATTGTGCCAACTACCATTTCGTGTAATGACATCACAGTTACCTACGGTGGGGGCTTAGATTTTTTATTTGAAAATGTTTGAGAAAGTATAGAACATATACTACACCTTGTAAATCATCATGGGCATTAAAAAAAAGAAGAAGAATAATAATAATGGTCCATTTTAGTTCCGACTTTAATTAAATATATATGTGATCTTAGGGCCGCATGTAAGATATATTAAATATAATATATATTATATATAATATATCTATGTATTTATATATAATAATATATAAATAGGAAGAGAGAGAGAGAAAGATTAGAATGAATAATGTTTATTCACTGGGATGATTTAACAAATGAAAATACACTACATATTTATACTAAGACAAAGCTAATAAATAGGAAGCTAATGCTCCATGTACTACTCCTATAATCTAGGCATGTTCTACATTAACATACATGACTCACCCATGTTTGTTTTTATTAAATTCTTTGACTTGGTTTAATTACTAATAATAATAATAATAATAATAATAATAATAATAATAATAATAATAATAATAATAATAATAATAATAATAATAATAATAATAATAATAATATTATTATTATTATTATTATTATTATTATTATTATTATTATTATTATTATTATTATTATTATTATTATTATTATTATTATTATTATTATTATTATTATTATTATTATAACATTGCCTCCTTTAAACGAAGTTGGATGTATTGGTCATCCCAATATCTCCTTCTTCAATTTAAGAAATGTCTCTATCTTCAAGTTGGATATACTGACTTGTATTTCGTTCTGTAAACCCACTTTACTCCAATTGGCTTCTTCCCAGGAGGTAAATCTGTGAATTCCCAGGTACCATTCTTTTCAATGACACGTATCTCCTCATCCACCGCCTTAAGCCAATGAGTTTCTGTAGCAGCCTCCTCAAAAGTTAAAGGATCACAATCTGCAAAGAGAGCTAATTGAATAATCTCTTCATCAGACAGGTCATTATCATGACCCAAAACATAATCTTGCAAGCGAGCTGGTAAGTGGCGCTCGCGCTGAGATCGTCGAACTGACGATTCTGGCTGTGAAGGAGACTGGACATGATCTGGAATCGGTTGCTCATCAACAATATTTTCAACAACAGGAATAACAACTGAACTTTCATCTTTAGCTAACCAATCCCAGGCACCATATTCATCAAAAGTGACATCACGACTTATAACAACCTTCTTAGTTTCAGGATTGTATAGTTTATAAACCTTTGAAGCGTCACTATAACCAATGAATATGCATTTCTCACATTTATCATCCAACTTCTTTCTCAATGGATCTGGCACATGTGCATATGCCAAACATCCAAAAACCTTGAGATATTTGATAGAGGGTTTTCTCCCACTCCATGCTTCTTCGGGTGTCTTATCACTGACACTTTTAGTTGGACACCTATTCAACACATAGACAGCACAAGCAATAGCTTCTGCCCAAAAAGGCTTAGGCAGATTCTTGGATTTCAACATGCACCTTACCATATCCATGATAGACCTATTCTTCCTCTCAGCCACTCCGTTTTGTTGTGGAGTGTATCTAGCTGTCATTTGGTGCTGAATACCCTTTTCTTTCAGAAAATCATCACAGGCAATATATTCTGTACCTCTATCAGTTCTCAAGATTTTAATCTCATAACCACTTTGCTTTTCAACAAAAGTCTTAAATTGTTTGAAAACATCACATGCGAATTCAGACTTTTGCTTCAGAAAGTAAACCCATGTTTTCCTACTGAAATCATCAATGAAAGTAATAAAGTACTTACAACCTCCATGTGAGGTAACCTCCAACGAACACAGGTCTGAGTGAACAATCTCCAACTGTTTTGTAGCTCTCCTTGACTTGCCCACAGGGAAGGGATCTCTATGCTTCTTCCCAATCACACAAATCTCACATATACGATCAGGGACATTCA